TCTTTCAGACAACAATAGCCAATGTTTGAGAGAGACAAGAATGACAGCACTAAACTCTTTCAGACAGCACTAGCCAATGTCTGAGAGAGACAAGAATGACATCACTAAACTCTTTCAGACAACAATAGTTAATGTCTAAGAGAGACAAGAATGACATCACTAAACTCTTTCAGGCAGCACTCGCCAATGTCTAAGAGAGACAAGAATGACATCACTAAACTCTTTCAGACAGCACTAGCTAATGTCTGAGAGAGAGAAGAATGACATCACTAAACTCTTTCAGACAGCACTAGCTAATGTCTGAGAGAGACAAGAATGACATCACTAAACTCTTTCAGGCAGCACTAGCTAATGTCTAAGAGAGACGAGAATGACATCACTAAACTCTTTCAGGCAGCACTAGCTTATATCTAAGAGAGACAAGAATGACATCACTAAACTCTTTCAGGCAGCACTAGCTTATATCTAAGAGAGACAAGAATGACATCTCTAAACTCTTTCAGGCAGCACTAGCCAATGTCTGAGAGAGACAAGAATGACATAACTAAACTCTTTCAGGCAGCACTAGCCAATGTCTAAGAGAGACAAGAATGACATCACTAAACTCTTTCAGACAGCACTAGCTAATGTCTGAGAGAGAGAAGAAATGACATCACTAAACTCTTTCAGACAGCACTAGCTAATGTCTGAGAGAGAGAAGAATGACATCACTAAACTCTTTCAGACAGCACTAGCTAATGTCTGAGAGAGACAAGAATGACATCACTAAACTCTTTCAGGCAGCACTAGCTAATGTCTAAGAGAGACGAGAATGACATCACTAAACTCTTTCAGGCAGCACTAGCTTATATCTAAGAGAGACAAGAATGACATCACTAAACTCTTTCAGGCAGCACTAGCTTATATCTAAGAGAGACAAGAATGACATCTCTAAACTCTTTCAGGCAGCACTAGCCAATGTCTGAGAGAGACAAGAATGACATAACTAAACTCTTTCAGGCAGCACTAGCCAATGTCTAAGAGAGACAAGAATGACATCACTAAACTCTTTCAGGCAGCACTAGCTTATATCTAAGAGAGACAAGAATGACATCACTTAACTCTTTCAGGCAGCACTAGCTTATATCTAAGAGAGACAAGAATGACATCACTAAACTCTTTCAGGCAGCACTAGCTTATATCTAAGAGAGACAAGAATGACATCAGTAAACTCTTTCAGGCAGCACTAGCTTATATCTAAGAGAGACAAGAATGACATCAATAAACTCTTTCAGGCAGCACTAGCTTATATCTAAGAGAGACAAGAATGACATCACTAAACTCTTTCAGGCAGCACTAGCTTATATCTAAGAGAGACAAGAATGACAGCACTAAACTCTTTCAGACAGCACTAGCCAATGTCTGAGAGAGACAAGAATGACATCAATAAACTCTTTCAGGCAGCACTAGCCAATGTCTGAGAGAGACAAGAATGACATCACTAAACTCTTTCAGGCAGCACTAGCTTATATCTAAGAGAGACAAGAATGACATCACTTAACTCTTTCAGGCAGCACTAGCTTATATCTAAGAGAGACAAGAATGACATCACTAAACTCTTTCAGGCAGCACTAGCTTATATCTAAGAGAGACAAGAATGACATCACTTAACTCTTTCAGGCAGCACTAGCTTATATCTAAGAGAGACAAGAATGACATCACTAAACTCTTTCAGGCAGCACTAGCTTATATCTAAGAGAGACAAGAATGACATCAGTAAACTCTTTCAGGCAGCACTAGCTTATATCTAAGAGAGACAAGAATGACAGCACTAAACTCTTTCAGACAGCACTAGCTTATATCTAAGAGAGACAAGAATGACAGCACTAAACTCTTTCAGGCAGCACTAGCTTATATCTAAGAGAGACAAGAATGACAGCACTAAACTCTTTCAGACAGCACTAGCTTATATCTAAGAGAGACAAGAATGACATCACTAAACTCTTTCAGACAGCACTAGCTTATATCTAAGAGAGACAAGAATGACATCACTAAACTCTTTCAGGCAGCACTTGCCAATGTCTAAGAGAGACAAGAATAACATCAGTAAACTCTTTCAGGCAGCACTAGCTAATGTCTAAGAGAGACGAGAATGACATCACTAAACCACCATTAACTTTATATACTCACAATAGACAACATTATGTCTGAGACAGACCCTAATTACCTTTATATCTACACACAACAGACAACATTATGTTTAAGATGGACCCCCATTACCTGTATATCTTTACAACAGACAACATTTACCTTTATATCTATACAACAGACAACATTTACCTTTATATCTATACAAACAGACAACATTTACCTTTGTATCTATACAACAGACAACATTTACCTTTATATCTATACAACAGACAACATTTACCTGTATATCTATACAACAGCTAATGTCTGAGAGAGACAAGAATGACATCACTAAACGCTTTCAGACAACAATAGTTAATGTCTGAGAGAGACAAGAATGACATCACTAAACTCTTTCAGACAACAATAGCTAATGTCTGAGAGAGACAAGAATGAAATCACTAAACTCTTTCAGACAACAATAGCTAATATCTAAGAGAGATAAGAATGACATCACTAAACTTTTTCAGACAACAATAGCTAATATCTGAGAGAGAGACGAGAATAATATCACTAAACTCTTTCAGACAACAATAGCTAATGTCTAAGAGAGACAAGAATGACATCACTAAACTCTTTCAGACAACAATAGCTAATGTCTGAGAGAGACAAGAATGACATCACTAAACTCTTTCAGACAACAATAGCTAATGTCTGAGAGAGACGAGAATAATATCACTAAACTCTTTCAGACAACAATAGCTAATGTCTGAGAGAGACAAGAATGACATCTCTAAACTCTTTCAGACAACAATAGCTAATGTCTGAGAGAGACGAGAATAATATCACTAAACTCTTTCAGACAACAATAGCTAATGTCTGAGAGAGACAAGAATGACATCACTAAACTCTTTCAGACAACAATAGCTAATGTCTGAGAGAGACGAGAATAATATCACTAAACTCTTTCAGACAACAATAGCTAATGTCTGAGAGAGACAAGAATGACATCTCTAAACTCTTTCAGACAACAATAGCTAATGTCTGAGAGAGACAAGAATGACATCACTAAACTCTTTCAGGCAGCACTAGCTTATATCTAAGAGAGACAAGAATGACATCACTTAACTCTTTCAGGCAGCACTAGCTTATATCTAAGAGAGACAAGAATGACATCACTTAACTCTTTCAGGCAGCACTAGCTTATATCTAAGAGAGACAAGAATGACATCACTTAACTCTTTCAGACAGCACTAGCTTATATCTAAGAGAGACAAGAATGACATCACTTAACTCTTTCAGGCAGCACTAGCTTATATCTAAGAGAGACAAGAATGACATCACTTAACTCTTTCAGGCAGCACTAGCTTATATCTAAGAGAGACAAGAATGACATCACTTAACTCTTTCAGGCAGCACTAGCTTATATCTAAGAGAGACAAGAATGACATCACTTAACTCTTTCAGGCAGCACTAGCTTATATCTAAGAGAGACAAGAATGACATCACTTAACTCTTTCAGGCAGCACTAGCTTATATCTAAGAGAGACAAGAATGACATCACTAAACTCTTTCAGACAACAATAGCTAATGTCTGAGAGAGACAAGAATGACATCAGTAAACTCTTTCAGGCAGCACTAGCCAATGTCTGAGAGAGACAAGAATGACATCACTAAACTCTTTCAGGCAGCACTAGCTTATATCTAAGAGAGACAAGAATGACATCAGTAAACTCTTTCAGGCAGCACTAGCTTATATCTAAGAGAGACAAGAATGACAGCACTAAACTCTTTCAGACAGCACTAGCTAATGTCTGAGAGAGACAAGAATGACATCAGTAAACTCTTTCAGACAGCACTAGCTAATGTCTGAGAGAGACAAGAATGACATCAGTAAACTCTTTCAGGCAGCACTAGCTTATATCTAAGAGAGACAAGAATGACAGCACTAAACTCTTTCAGACAGCACTAGCCAATGTCTGAGAGAGACAACAATGACATCACTAAACTCTTTCAGACAGCACTAGCCAATGTCTGAGAGAGACAACAATGACACCACTAAACTCAAGGGTATGCTTCATCCGTAGGGGTCAAACTAACAATCCTTGTAGGAGACAAATATAAATCGTCCATCAATAAACATGACATACACAAACATTCATATAAATTACATATTGATTGATGGAGATGGAGGCAATCACTGCAGCTCTGATTTGGATAGTAGAAAACAAAGTTAGCAGAGGAATTATGGTGTTTGATTCTTAATCGTCACTGCGGAAGGTTCAAAAGGGACTAGTGTGGCATGAGTGGATACCAAGCATCAGTAAGCAAACATTGCAGGGAATCACGTAGATAAACTGTCTGTGATATGCAGGAGTGCGAGGGAATAAAAAAGCAGATTTTCTGGCTTCAAGAGCAATAGCTACAGGAACACTTGTACTTGGCAAGGAAGATATTCTGAAGACCATATATGAACGAATGTTGACAGAAGAAACCAGGTTAAATGAAATAACATGTGTAGGAATGTGTGAACGAGGAACTGGAGGATATAATCATTGTGCTACGGGAACAGTAAGTATCTACATCTTCAGACATTTGCCATATGGCTATGGTTATGTCTAGTGTGCTATGATGTAGGTCAGCAAACATATTGATTGATACACATAAATAATATCCAATGACATATAGTGCAGTGCTTGGGGACAGAAAGTGTTGAGTGAGTTGATGTCAACGAGGTTTTGCTGTATTATTTGTTCTATCCACACAACTACCAACTTACAGCTACCAACTTACAGCTTCCAACTTACAACTACCAACTTACAGCTTCCAACTTACAGCTTCCAACTTACAGCTTCCAACTTACAGCTTCCAACTTACAACTACCAACTTACAGCTTCCAGCTCCTGCGCTCGCAGACGGTATCTCTCTCGCTGGCTCTGAACTATTGGCAACAGAGAGTCGGCCGCTGATTTGTTGAAATCTGTTGAAAACAGGAAACATCATCATCATCAGCTAATACATGAAACACAAATGTCTCTCTCTCTCTCTCTCTCTCTCTCTCTCTCTCTCTCTCTCTCGTGTGTGTGTGTGTGTGTGTGTGTGTGTGAGTGTGTGTGTGTGTGTGTGTGTGTGTGTGTGTGTGTGAGTGTGTGTGTGTGTGTGTGTGTGTGTGTGTGTGTGTGTGTGTGTGTGTGTGTGTGTGTGTGTGTGTGTGTGTGTGTGAGAGAGAGAGAGAGAGAGAGAGAGAGAGAGAGAGAGAGAGAGAGAGAGAGAGAGAGAGAGAGAGAGAGAGAGAGAGAGAGCTAGTCATAGCCTGTTCAACTCATATGAGCTACAGAGGAAATATACTCCTCTTCAAGATGGTGCGGCAAGCAGATGTTTATTATTCAGCCAGTGACTAACCAGAAATCCTAAACTAGAGGCCTGAATGTGATAATCCAGTTCAACTATGACCAATCTAGTAAGGTTGGAAACACTGCGAGTGGTTTCACAAACCGACAGTGGTTTATTTAGTGTTGATAGACAAATTAAAAGATCTCAGGAACCAGCTAGCTGAAAATTACTACAGACAAAGTAAACAGAATGTCCAATTGCAGAGATCTCCTCCTTCCTTGATGCTGCAAAGCATTCTGGAAGTAGAGAAAAGAAAAAGAAGAGAAGGAGGAGAAAGAGGAGGAGGAGAAGGAAGAAGAAAGAGGAGGAGGAGAAGGAAGAAGAAAAAGAAGAATGAACTATCATCACAATCATTATCACTATCATCAAAAGAGTGGCATGGCTTAGTGGTTAAGCTGTCAGCCTATCACTGTGAAGGTCAAATGTTTGTATCACAGACTGTATTCTTTAGTTCATGAGTGAAATGTGTACTTGAGATCCCTGTGAGCTCATCCTCCATCAGCAGGTCCTTCACAGATCATCGAGAGAGCTCATCCTCCATCAGCAGGTCCTTCACAGATCATCGAGAGAGCTCATCCTCCATCAGCAGGTCCTTCACAGATCATCGAGAGAGCTCATCCTCCATCAGCAGGTCCTTCACAGATCATCGAGAGAGCTCATCCTCCATCAGCAGGTCCTTCACAGATCATCGAGAGAGCTCATCCTCCATCAGCAGGTCCTTCACAGATCATCGAGAGAGCTCATCCTCCATCAGCAGGTCCTTCACAGATCACCGAGAGAGCTCATCCTCCATCAGCAGGTCCTTCACAGATCATCGAGAGAGCTCATCCTCCATCAGCAGGTCTTCACAGATCATCGAGAGAGCTCATCCTCCATCAGCAGGTCCTTCACAGATCATCGAGAGAGCTCATCCTCCATCAGCAGGTCCTTCACAGATCATCGAGAGAGCTCATCCTCCATCAGCAGGTCCTTCACAGATCATCGAGAGAGCTCATCCTCCATCAGCAGGTCCTTCACAGATCATCGAGAGAGCTCATCCTCCATCAGCAGGTCCTTCACAGATCATCACTAGAGCTCATCCTCCATCAGCAGGTCCTTCACAGATCATCGAGAGAGCTCATCCTCCATCAGCAGGTCCTTCACAGATCATCGAAAGAGCTCATCCTCCATCAGCAGGTCCTTCACAGATCATCGCTCTTCTCATGGCATGTCCGAAAGTCTCTCTTTCTCTCGTCAGTTTTCCAGCCCGATGTGCTTTCATAGCCGATGCAGCTTCAATGTCTTGTATCCATCTTCATGAAGGTCTGCCTATGCCCCATCATCTACCCTCCATCACGGTTCTCTCCAGGCCACTTTGGCTTTTAAGATGGGACAAATACTTGGTCTTTCAGGACAGGATGCTGTTTATGAGCCAATTCTCCTCAATGCTGAGATCACTGTCTTTCTTCTTCTTGGTCCATGGCATTCTAAGAAGTGTTCTGTAGCTTTTCTCTGGAGTTACAGAATTTAAACTTTGACCTTCTCAACAGGAGGTTAGTTGTTCTGTGGAAGGGGAGTGAATTAAAAGCCCAGGGCAATACAGCTGACTTTAAACCTTTGAGCTTTGCCCTCTCAACTCAAAGATGTAAACAGCTGAGAATTGAAGCAACAATGAAATTCCTAATCTGTTGAAATCATCACTAATTACTATCACCATGAGGGATAATACGGGTGCGAGGTACACAGAGAATTGAAGCAACAATGAAATTCCTAATCTGTTGAAATCATCACTAATTACTATCATCATGAGGGATAATACGGGTGCGAGGTACACAGAGAATTGAAGCAACAATGAAATTCCTAATCTGTTGAAATCATCACTAATTACTATCATCATGAGGAATAATACGGGTGCGAGGTACACAGAGAATTGAAGCAACAATGAAATTCCTAATCTGTTGAAATCATCACTCATTACTATCATCATGAGGGATAATACGGGTGCGAGGTACACAGAGAATTGAAGCAACAATGAAATTCCTAATCTGTTGAAATCATCACTAATTACTATCATCATGAGGGACAATACGGGTGCGAGGTACACAGAGAATTGAAGCAACAATGAAATTCCTAATCTGTTGAAATCATCACTAATTACTATCATCATGAGGGATAATACGGGTGCGAGGTACACAGAGAATTGAAGCAACAATGAAATTCCTAATCTGTTGAAATCATCACTAATTACTATCATCATGAGGGATAATACGGGTGCGAGGTACACAGAGAATTAAAGCAACAATGAAATTCCTAACCTGTTGAAATCATCACTAATTACTATCATCATGAGGGATAATACGGGTGCGAGGTACACAGAGAATTGAAGCAACAATGAAATTCCTAATCTGTTGAAATCATCACTAATTACTATCATCATGAGGGATAATACGGGTGCGAGGTACACAGAGAATTGAAGCAACAATGAAATTCCTAATCTGTTGAAATCATCACTAATTACTATCATCATGAGGGATAATACGGGTGCGAGGTACACAGAGAATTGAAGCAACAATGAAATTCCTAATCTGTTGAAATCATCACTAATTACTATCATCATGAGGGATAATACGGGTGCGAGGTACACAGAGAATTGAAGCAACAATAAAATTCCTAATCTGTTGAAATCATCACTAATTACTATCATCATGAGGGATAATACGGGTGCGAGTTACACAGAGAATTGAAGCAACAATGAAATTCCTAATCTGTTGAAATAATCACTAATTACTATCATCATGAGGGATAATACGGGTGCGAGGTACACAGAGAATTGAAGCAACAATGAAATTCCTAATCTGTTGAAATCATCACTAATTACTATCATCATGAGGGATAATACGGGTGCGAGGTACACAGAGAATTGAAGCAACAATGAAATTCCTAATCTGTTGAAATCATCACTAATTACTATCATCATGAGGGATAATACGGGTGTGAGGTACACAGAGAATTGCAGATAACAGAGAAACAAAAACTGTAAACACAAAAGAGATCAGCTGGAGAAGACCATTAGGCAGAACAAAGACAAGGGAGAGATAATTTACAGACAGATATACAAACATTTGGAGTCGCCATCCGCAAAGATAAGGCCAATCACAGGGTGAATGGAGGTGGGGGTGATATCTGCAGCATAAATTTCAAGGACTCAGGATGCTGAAAAAGGAGAAGAACGTGCCAACTGGAAAGGATGATAATGGTTGTCCACTTCTTGTGTAATGATATCCTTCCAGGCCATAATAAAAAATCTGTCAACAACTTTCTCTTGTTGTCTGCCTCCATCTACCTTTACATACATTTGTTCTCGGTTGTCACAACATCTCCTCTCATAATGTGGCTCAAAGACAAAATGGAGACCCCTTTTTCCCCCACGATGATAGTGATAAGTTGTCTAGATTAGTTGCATGAATGTAGACAATCCATGGAATTTTCAGCCATCTCAGGGGATGCTGAACATAGATAATTATCTTCCCAGGCAAGTAAACTGATCAAGTAAAGGGGACAACATAATTCACACATGTGTCTAAGGCTTCACGATACATCTAATTCTAATGACAAGTAAGTGATAGCAGAAATTATAGATTGGACCACAGAAACTACAGACAGGACTACACAAACTACAGACTGGACCACAGAAACTACAGACTGGAGCACAGAAACTACAGACTGGAGCACAGAAACTACAGACTGGACCACAGAAACTACAGACTGGACCACAGAAACTACAGACTGGACCACAGAAACTACAGACTGGACCACAGAAACTACAGACTGGAGCACAGAAACTACAGACTGGACCACAGAAACTACAGACTGGACCACAGAAACTACAGACTGGACCACAGAAACTACAGACTGGACCACAGAAACTACAGACTGGACCACAGAAACTACAGACTGGACCACAGAAACTACAGACTGGAGCACAGAAACTACAGACTGGAGCACAGAAACTACAGATGGGACTACACAAACTACAGACTGGACCACAGAAACTACAGACTGGACCACAGAAACTACAGACTGGAGCACAGAAACTACAGACTGGACCACAGAAACTACAGACTGGACCACAGAAACTACAGACTGGACCACAGAAACTACAGACTGGACCACAGAAACTACAGACTGGACCACAGAAACTACAGACTGGACCACAGAAACTACAGACTGGACCACAGAAACTACAGACTGGACCACAGAAACTACAGACTGGACCACAGAAACTACAGACTGGAGCACAGAAACTACAGACTGGAGCACAGAAACTACAGACTGGACCACAGAAACTACAGACTGGACCACAGAAACTACAGACTGGAGCACAGAAACTACAGACTGGACCACAGAAACTACAGACTGGACTACACAAACTACAGACTGGACCACAGAAACTACAGACTGGACCACAGAAACTACAGACTGGACCACAGAAACTACAGACTGGACCACAGAAACTACAGACTGGACCACAGAAACTACAGACTGGAGCACAGAAACTACAGACTGGAGCACAGAAACTACAGACTGGACCACAGAAACTACAGACTGGACCACAGAAACTACAGACTGGAGCACAGAAACTACAGACTGGACCACAGAAACTACAGACTGAACTACACAAACTACAGACTGGACCACAGAAACTACAGACTGGACAACAGAAACTACAGACTGGACAACAGAAACTACAGACTGGACTACACAAACTACAGACTGGACCACAGAAACTACAGACTGGACAACAGAAACTACAGACTGGACAACAGAAACTACAGACTGGACAACAGAAACTACAGACTGGACAACAGAAACTACAGACTGGAGCACAGAAACTACAGACTGGACAACAGAAACTACAGACTGGACTACACAAACTACAGACTGGACCACAGAAACTACAGACTGGACAACAGAAACTACAGACTGGACAACAGAAACTACAGACTGGACCACAGAAACTACAGACTGGACCACAGAAACTACAGACTGGACCACAGAAACTACAGACTGGACCACAGAAACTACAGACTGGACAACAGAAACTACAGACAGGACAACAGAAACTACAGACTGGACAACAGAAACTACAGACTGGACAACACAAACTACAGACTGGACAACACAAACTACAGACTGGACAACAGAAACTACAGACTGGACAACAGAAACTACAGACTGGACCACAGAAACTACAGACTGGACAACAGAAACTACAGACTGGACCACAGAAACTACAGACTGGACAACAGAAACTACAGACTGGACCACAGAAACTACAGACTGGACAACAGAAACTACAGACAGGACAACAGAAACTACAGACTGGACAACAGAAACTACAGACTGGACAACACAAACTACAGACTGGACAACACAAACTACAGACTGGACAACAGAAACTACAGACTGGACAACAGAAACTACAGACTGGACCACATAAACTACAGACTGGACAACACAAACTACAGACTGGACAACACAAAATACAGACTGGAGCACAGAAACTACAGATGGGACAACACAAACTACAGACTGGACAACAGAAACTACAGACTGGAGCACAGAAACTACAGACTGGAGCACAGAAACTACAGACTGGACCACGGAAGCTAGAAAATGGACCACATAAACTACACACTGCACCAGAGAAAGTATGGACTGGACCATATAAACTGCAGACTGGACCACAGAAACTAACCACAAAAACTAGACTGAACTAAAGACTGGATCACAGAAACTACAGACTGAACCACAGAAACTGCAGACTGTGCAACAAACCTGATGTGTGAGAAAACTGGCTGACTTCTTTGACGATGGAGGCCATGGCTTCAGTGTTGGGGTCAGCTGGCCCTGGCTCACCCTGTATGGGAGAGATGCTCACTGATACAGCCACATCACAGACAGGGTTAATAACACGACATGTATCATCAGGTAAATCATACACCTTCCAGTCTGTTGTTTATCTGGTGATATGCAGTACTGGCACCTTTGTGTAAAGGCATTTTTGTTTTCAGTGCTACTGTAATAGACACTTTATGGGCAGTACTGGCACTTTTGTGTAAAGGCATTTTTGTTTTCAGTGCTACTGTAATAGACCCTTTATGGGCAGTAGCAGCACATTTTTTTGTTTATTAAACACTGTAGAAAGTTCTGGCTGTTTGTCCACTTGTAGACTTTCATCTTGTTTTAGTACCTGCGTTTTGCGTGCACATCCATTCTACAGATCTGCCATATTTGTAGTTGGACTGCTGGTTCCTCTATCTCAGACAGAGGCACTTCGAAGGAAACCCCTAAATATTTGACTCTTACGTCATGCTTGCTAGGGAGGCAGTGGGTATTTTCTTCCAGCCCCACCGCCCCCTCCCGCCCCTACAAATGGAAAATTTAATGTTTTTCGTTTATTATTTGTATTATCTTTCGTTTATACAATACTTTATTATTTTTCGTTTATACAATACTTTATTATTTTTCGTTTATACAATACTTTATTATTTTTCGTTTATACAATACTTTATTATTTTTCGTTTATACAATACTTTATTATTTTTTGTTTATACAATACTTTATTATTTTTTGTTTATACAATACTTTATTATTTTTCGTTTATACAATACTTTATTATTTTTCGTTTATACAATACTTTATTATTTTTTCGTTTATACAATACTTTATTATTTTTTGTTTATACAATACTTTATTATTTTTCGTTTATACATTACTTTATTATTTTTCGTTTATACAATACTTTATTATTTTTTGTTTATACAATACTTTATTATTTTTCGTTTATACAATACTTTATTATTTTTCGTTTATACAATACTTTATTATTTTTCGTTTATACAATACTTTATTATTTTTCGTTTATACAATACTTTATTATTTTTCGTTTATACAATACTTTATTATTTTTCGTTTATACAATACTTTATTATTTTTCGTTTATACAATACTTTATTATTTTTCGTTTATACAATACTTTATTATTTTTCGTTTATACAATACTTTATTATTTTTCGTTTATACAATACTTTATTATTTTTCGTTTATACAATACTTTATTATTTTTCGTTTATACAATACTTTATTATTTTTCGTTTATACAATACTTTATTATTTTTCGTTTATACAATACTTTATTATTTTTCGTTTATACAATACTTTATTATTTTTCGTTTATACAATACTTTATTATTTTTCGTTTTTCGCGTTCACCGACTGTAAACTATGAGAGAAAGTTCTGGTTGTTTGTCCACTCACGAACATTGGTTTTCATTGAGATCTAGAGTTTTCTTGGCACATCTATTTCTTTCAGCAACTTTTCCCAACCATTCCCAATCTTTTCAGAACAAGTGTCTAGCCGCTCCGCCAGGGCGACTCCACTACTACCCAGAGACCAGGGGAAATTACTAGAAGCCGAGGTGAAAAGATCCTAGCCTTCACCAGGCCTAAACCTCTAGCACTCGAGGCTGACACCATACCTAGAAACCACTCAGCCGCCCCCCTCCCCCCCCCCCACCCATGACCTATACTGTACATGTATAGCTATATCTTCAGAGACTCAATCCAATTTTTTGGTTGCTTTTTTTTGGGTAGAGATGAAAGAAGTTAGTGACGATTCGGTGATGACAAAAGGATGGAAAGGCTCCGTCCGCAAGTAGTACTTTCAGTACAACCGAGTAACAACAAGCTTTTGTCTCAAGAGCGGCGCCCGTGGCTTAGGCATTGCGAGTCTGACTGTAATTCCAGCATAACGCGATCGAAACCCACTGCAGGCTGCGTGGATTTTTATCGTGGTATGGGGCGTGCAGGCCGACCCAGCCTAAAATGGGTACCAGGATGGCTGTCCTGGGGAAGTGAAGACGGCCGGCGTAATACTGACCACATTACCCACCTAGTGTCGATTGGTCCGTAAAGATATAAGTGCTCTTTCGTGATCCCAAAGCGCCTAAAGGCGTGAAAAGGGATCTTTACTTTTACTTACTTCGTCTCAAAATCTCGTTTGACTACAATGTGGAGTTAAGGCTTCAAAGCGGAAGATGCCGTCTTTCTCCCCCGCTCCACCATTTTCTGTCTGATCCAACCCCAACACCCCCCACCCCCTAAAAAATGTCTTCCCAATCCAAAAACAATCTCTATTTCTGTTTATCAGCCAACCTACCAATCAACAACTCAAACATCAACACGCGGAAATACTAACATCATCATCATCACGTGCTGTACCGGTAAGCGTAGACTGTCATGTTTCGCCATTTCTTCTCACACAAGCAACTGAATTCAGGATCAGTTCGATGTTTGTGTCCCGTCCCATCCATCTGGTCAGATCATCCGTGTACTTTCCTCTTTGCCTTCCACTTGCTCATTTTGCCATTATAGCGTATATTTCACACTTTTTTCCTTTGATAATAACCATAATTTCCGTGTTCGTATAATTTAACTCTAAGCCTAGTGTCTCACTGTGAACTATTTCTGCATCTACTAAACACTGCAGATCTTCTTCACTGTCTGCAGTCACCGTATCATTTGCATGTCTTACTTATATTATTGATGTTACGTCCGCCCACGTTAATCACCTTCCCGTCTTTCAGATGTCGCATACTTTTGTTCTCGATACAAGGAAAAACATATCTGGAGACATTACACATCCCTGTTACACATGCCTGTTACACATCCCTGTTACACATGCCTGTTACACATCCCTGTTACACATGCCTGTTACACATCCCTGTTACACATCCCTGTTACACATCTCTCCTGACTGGTTGGCATATACCTTCTTCATTATCGATTCTTACAACAGCATCTTGTTTCCACCATATGGTGTTAATTAGTCTAAGGTACTTACACACCCAACGCACTTACACACCCAACGCACTTACACACCCAACGCACTTACACACCCAACGCACTTACACATCCAATAACCAACCCACTAACCAATTAACTTACCCAGCAAACAACCCTCAAATCAAATACCCCATGAGCAAACTCACAAACCAACCACCAATCAACGTATTCACACGCCCAAAATCCAACCCACTAACCAATCATGATACACGATAAACAACTTTCAAACCAACATACATACGAACCAACCCGCCCTCCAACTTGAAAAATCAACCAGCAAACGCACCCATTAACCAACCAACCAAATAGCCCACCCACCAAACCACCAACCAGTCAACCCACAAACCAACCAAGCAGGCAGAACGTTATTAAAACGGGTTATTGCGGTTAAGGTAATTCCAAAACGGTATTCCGCTAAACTGTGATTAAGAACCTTGAAAAGGAGAAGGGGGCAACGTACATACACAAGAAACCAACCAGCCAGACAAGCCACCCACCAACTAAAGCAAACCAACCTATATACCAACAAAGCAGCCGACACACCCACCTATCAAATAACAACACCAATCAACCATGTCCTACCTCAGCGTCCCCACGAAACATGGAGGACAAGGCGTTGACATTCCGGAGGTCATCCTCCAGCTGAACGATGAGGTTCTTCTGCTCCTGCACGGCGCTGGCAGCCTCCTTATACTCTTCCTGCAACTTCCGCACCTGGTCTGTGTGCAGGACAAAGCCATAAACACATTAAATGAGTATGGACGACAAAGAGATAAACATATTAACATGAGTATGGACGACAAAGAGATAAACATATTAAATGAGTATGGACGACAAAGAGATAAACATATTAACATGAGTATGGACGACAAAGAGATAAACATATTAACATGAGTATGGACGACAAAGAGATAAACATATTAACATGAGTATGGACGACAAAGAGATAAACATATTAACATGAGTATGGACGACAAAGAGATAAACATATTAACATGAGTATGGACGACAAAGAGATAAACACATTAAATGAGTATGGACGACAAAGAGATAAACATATTAACATGAGTATGGACGACAAAGAGATAAACATATTAACATGAGTATGGACGACAAAGAGATAAACATATTAACATGAGTATGGACGACAAAGCGATAAACTATAACAATGTGTTCGAGGACAACTAAGTTAAAAAAAAATAGTAAAGGACCATTTTCCACGCCTTGAGGCCAGTGGGCATATAGGGCTAGAACTGTATTTGATAGACTGATCGTTACTGCGATGTGGTCAGCATGACACCAGACGGAGGACCAGGACACACAAACAGTCATTATTGCTTGTTACAGTTAGTTGCGTGTCCTCTGCCAGACGCTGCAGAACCATCCCGGGCATCCTATTTTTAAATGACTGATTGTGATCTCACAAACTTCATTACATCGGGGTTTATCTCATACGGCTCGGTCTCTCTCCGCAAAACGGCTAGCCGCCTGCCGAGAGCGCCACACAGAGCACGAACTCCGTAGCTCCGTGATGATCCGCAGGGATCTCCATAAAAACTCCATTCGTGAACTGAAGAGCGCAACCGTGAAACGAACCCACAACCTTCAGAGCGCTAAGCAAACGGCTTGAAGACAGAGACCCCCTCACTTGATAAGAACAGCAGGCTACAAGACAAGAGGCCGAGCAAGAAAGAAATGGATAGAAGGAGTCAAGGAGCCACTATAGAACAAAGACCATAACATTAACACAAGCAAGGCAACTAGCAAAAGATAGAATCTACATCTAATTTTACTGTGCGATATTTTACAGCATAAGCAATAGGACAAAGTAAGAGAAGAACATGTAGCGTTATGACTGGATAATGCAGCAGGCTGATACGTATTCTGCACAGGCCAGAAGAGGCTGGGGTGCCGGACTGTGAGCACCACGTGGCACACAACAGCCCCCCTCCCCACCCCACACGGGTAATTTGACGATGATTGGAGCATAGAACAATTAAAAGTGAGATATGTATTCTTTACAGGACGTTGCAGAACCAACCCCAGCGTTTTTGTTGCTGTTATGGTTTTTCTAGACTAACGTTATGTTCAGTAGTTTGCCATTGCCCTAAACGGTCAGCTCTCGGTACCACTGACGAAACCAACGCAAAAACCAACCGTCCGCAGAGGAGATCGAACCCGGCTCAACGGCATTACAAAGCGGATTCGCAACCACTAAGCCATAGACGCACAGAACAGGCAATTTAAAAAAAAAAAAAAAAAACGAATTATGCAAAGACAGAGATGAAGCTGGTTTGATTTGGTTTATACCGGGGATCATAACTTATAAGTGTTTCCTCCGTTCTACTAACAAGCGTGAGTCCAAAGAATCTCAGCGCAGCGCACGAACACCGTAGCACCGACGAGAATCCTGAAGTGTTTGCTCTTTATGTTGTTTACTGATGAATCTGAAAGTGTTGGAAGCTTTTAAAAGTGTTAATTTCGGGGCGGCGACATCCAGACATGACTGCACTGTTGAGCAGGCTGGTGTCTGTCAAAGAAAAAGGCTGTGGCCAGATAAGAGTTCATGGAGGAAGCCACAGAAGAATGAGAAACCAACACAGAACTGGTTTCATGAGCCGCTACACACTGCGGGGTTTACTAAGGAGGGATCCGAGCACTTACGGGCTGAATGGTTCCATGTGCAATCATAAATATCTGTCAACTAAGCAAATAACTAATGAGATATAAGAATGAGAACCATGCACAAGGAGTGTACACAGGACAGTTGGGCAGTGCTGCGCATTTTGTTTTTCTGCGCAAAGCGACTATCTACAGAGGGTTTTAAATTGTCTCTTTCTTCGACATTCTGAGCCCTTGACGTTCATGGCTGCACAGATGATCAGCCTCCACCCGTCTTTATTATCGGCCTTCTCTTTCTCGCGGGTGACTCCGAGTGTTTGTAGGAATATCTGTAGATTATTTCTCCGTCTTCTTTGCCTTGTGGTCTGCTCCCAACTCAACTGCACGGCCGCTTTTGTCTCTGTCATCCTCTGTTTACGTCCAAACCACTCCAGCCGATAAACCACCATGATGCTCGTAATTGGCACTTATTTGAAAAGATTACGAATATCATTGTTGCTTGTCGATCGTTCTCCGTTCTCAACTGTGTAATGAGTTGACAGATTGGTCGTCAAACTGTGTTCTCAAAAGTATGTCACAAGTCTTCGTCTCTTTCAGTTGTACTCCAGAATGTGAAGTCACTACAAAACAAGCGGTTGTACCAGTATTGCATATACTATGATTTTGTTGTTCCTATAAAGAGCATTAGATTTTAGCGGATGTTGTAGCATTGTAGGGCATAGTATTCTTATTCCCAGTTTTTTTTTTTTTTTCGTCTTCTCAGAGTATGTTGCAGCAATGTGTTGCCAAGTACGTGCATGTGACCGTTCTTTTTATTTTCATGTTTTCTATTTGTAGGTGACTGCAGTTTTTGTTTCCTATCTTGCTACCGTTGTTTCTTTTTGTTCTCCTTTCGTTCGCTTGAAATAGATTATCTATATCTGCTACTGTTCCGTATCCTTTACAGAACGTTGCAGAACTAACCCCAACATTTTTTGACTGTTGTGGCTTTTATAGGCAAATTTTACGTTCAGTAGTTTGCCACTGCTTCCTGGACGGTCGGCTTCTCAATATGACTGTCGAAACCAACGAAAGGCGCATGGCCCACATCTGGGATCGAACCCGGCATTTCGAAGCGGGTTTGCAACGCCTAAGCCCCAGACGCCAACATGATACAGTTATCTTATCTTCACTCATAGCTATTCCTATTTTTTTTTTTTAGCTATGTCGTTAAATGGGTCAGTGTTTTCTCCTACCATGCCTACATATCTCCTACCATGCCTACATGTCTCCTACCATGCCTACATGTCTCCTACCATGCCTACATGTCTCCTACCATGCCTACATATCTCCTACCATGCCTACATGTCTCCTACCATGCCTACATATCTCCTACCATGCCTACAGGTCTCCTACCATGCCTACAGGTCTCCTACCATGCCTACATATCTCCTACCATGCCTACATGTCTCCTACCATGCCTACATATCTCCTACCATGTCTACATGTCTCCTACCATGCCTACATATCTCCTACCATGCCTACATATCTCCTACCATGCCTACATGTCTCCTACCATGCCTACATATCTCCTACCATGCCTATATATCTCCTACCATGCCTACAGGTCTCCTACCAAGCCTACAGGTCTCCTACCATGCCTACATGTCTCCTACCATGCCTACATGTCTCCTACCATGCCTACATGTCTCCTACCATGCCTACAGCATCTGCACAACCAAGAAATCCTGTTATTTCTCCTACAGCACATAGTCATCTATGTGCCTTCCGTATGACTGCCCCTGGATCCAAGTTGAAACGAAGCGCGGACAGGGCATAACCTTGCTTTAAACCGGGTGTTATCTGAAAAGGGTCTGACTTTCTGTCTTTACGTTCATCTAGATGACAACGGGTAGCACCAGTGTGGAAACTCTTCCAGGAACGTTGATCAGGGCGACTGATCTGATATGGGTTAGTCCACAAAGCCGTGATGTCGAATCTTTACTCAGATGTGTTATTTATTTAACGTAATACGTGCAGCAGGAGAAAATCAACACTGAGCCTCATGAACTCAGGTGGGCCCACTCTCTGAAAATGTCTAGGAGCTGGTGGGCCGAAAAAATTGTCGACGAGAGGTTACTTCTACTGATGATTGGTAGTAGACTCCTGCTGTACATGTTCCCCTGTGGAGTTTCTTCTTATGAGTGTCTTCCATTCATTGTCTGGTCATGATGATTAACTTCTTTGGTGAAGGATATCAACAACAAAAACTTTGTTCTTCGTCCACCTCGGCATCTACACCCCCATCCCTGTCCTTGGTATCTTTTCTCTGTTGCCATATTTTTTCATTATCCGGTTGTGCCATTCCTCCATTCCGTTCTATTCCCTACAATCCGTTGAACATCACGGATGAAATCCAGTCCTGCACCTTTGGCCTCTCATCAACGTTCATTTTAGGGTTTCTCTTGGAAGTCCTTGTAATGCCTGTTTGGTAACTCTCTGCTGGCTTCTTCCCAACACGTGTCCAGTGTAGCGCCATCTTCTCTGTCTTATAACTGTTGATACCACTGGCTGCCCAGATATTTCTCTTACTTCTAAAAAGAAAGTTAGTTGCGTATCTTGTAAAACTGTTGCAGAACCAACCCCAGCATTTTTTGGCTGTTGTGCTTTTTTAGGCAAATTTAACGTTTAGTAGTTTGCTACTGCTTCATGGACAGTCGGCTTCTCGATTTGACTGTCGAAACCAACGCAAGATAAACTGCGCCGCTGGGATCGAACCCGACACCCCGGCATTACGAGGCTCGTTCGCAAAGCCTAAGCCACAGACGGCGATCTCTTGCTTCTACCCCTCTTAAAATCATCCAATTTTATTTTAACTATTTAGTTTTAGTTCCATGTCTTCAGTAGTTCACCAACATTCATTGGTTCTTCTTTTCTATTTCCGTCTCATTGTTATCAGGTTGTAACCCAGTGTCGTGGTTTTGTCGTCTCACTGTTACCAGGTTGTAACCCAGTGTTGTGGTTTTGTTGTCTCATTGTTACCAGGTTGTAACCCAGTGTCGTGGTTTTGTTGTCTCACTGTTACCAGGTAGTAACCCAGTGTCGTGGTTTTGTTGTC